CTGCAGCATTGGTGAACGATCCTCTTGCGCTGGGTGGTGCTGGCTGGCCTCCTGCTTCTCTATGGTTGTCCCCAAAAGCTGTGTCTGGTTCATGGACACCTCAAAGGTTACTTCAAGAGTCTTCCTTCTTGCTTTATTATCAGCATATTTTGGGAGCCATGCCAGGGATCTGTAGCCAGGAACTACTGCCTAAAGTAATGGTTAGCTTTTCCTCATCTGCCATACACGTTGGGCCTCCCTTTAAAAGAAACCTGCAGTCACTTGATTCTTACTGAAACATAGGCATTTGATGGAGTGGGAATGATTCCACTGAGTCAAGGACATAATGATTTTGGACTTCCAAATTCAGGGCTTTTCTCTGGAATCACCTTGCTTATGCCCTCAGGCAAGAAATGGGTATTGCTTCTCCCATTTGAGACACCTTCTTGGTTAAACCTTCTGTTAAATGTGAAAGGAAGGGAGGAGACTACTAGAGTTGCAAGATAAATTTTATTAGTGAGATTGCCAAAATTTTACACTTCTAAAAATAATCTACATTACAACAATTAGAAGGTTCTCTCCTTGTATACGCTTGCTGAGAGGTCAGTGTTGAAACTGTCAGGATAGAGAATTTTTGTCAGATTATTTTTGCATTTAGACCAAAGGTACTCACAGGAGGTTGTATTCCATCTTCTGGGGAATAGAGGCTGAGGGAGGGTTGTAAATTGCCCTGTAGTATAGTTAGTAAGAACTGTTCTGAATGGGGTTAGATAACTGTTCCAGTCTTTGAACATGCATGATATTAACAGAACTGAACTGATACTGATGATGGCAAGACATTCATAGTAGTGGTTATACCTGTGTTTGCACATAATGCTGTGTAGTTGAAAAACTATGATATTAGGAGATCAGGTGTTACAAAAGTCTAAGTGAAAGTAGGTTTCCACTCGTATCAGTGTGAGTACCTGTGAATGCAGGCGTATTTAGAGGTGAAGTTAGCAGTTATTGGTGAACAAGCCTAAGAAGCAGCTGTGTACATAAAGGTGCATATGTACAGGCAAAAGGGACACAAGACACTTGAAGAAAAACAAACTGACACATTTTGCTTTAATTTCAGTCTGGAGCAGGATTTTTCTGAGCGTAAAGCATTTTCCTATGTAATTCAGGACGTGACAGGAGGCTGCAATTACAATCAATAACCTCTTCGTAGGGGTCAGAGACTAAAGGTCCACAGTGCCCTGAACATGAACAACAAAATGCTAATACCTTTTTCCATATCAATCTGTCATATCAGAGAGCACTGAAGTGGGGAAAGAGGAAAGATCACAGTGCAGATGAGTGGAAGATGAAGGCAGTGCACCGTGTGTGTGGATTTGTGCAATATTGGAAGGAACAACATTCTCTTCTTCCCTGTCACTCTCCACTAAATTCTGGAGAGATGCTATTACACTACAGTCAAGAGTCTTGATGCGTTTCTAGTCCCACCATGGGGAGGATGGTCTAATGTAGGTATTAGAATACAGTAACAAGGAGTGTTTTCATCAAAGAAAACAAGCATGTGGAAACAGTGCTGTCTCTTGGTCCAAATCGCCATATTTCAGTAGGTAACTGGAAATACCAGCATTCATACTCCCCTTCATTAAGACAACATATTTGTTCCTACTGAATGGAAATTAGATGTTGCTTCTCTGTGCGACGGAAGAGATGGTTCTGCTCCATGCAGTGATTTCCTTACCCTACCTGCCCTGGAAGTAAAGAGAAGGCTGGAATTTGAAACGGAAATATTACCACTGCAGAAGAACAATTACTCTGATGCACATGACAATGTAAGATTCTGTAATAAAAAGGTGTCTGACAGTGATTGGGAACCACAGTACCTAGTTGGTGCTTCCCTGGCAAAAGATAAAGCAGAAGGTAAAAAGAAATACCCACCTGCTCTGCTTCTATATAGGATCGTAGTATTGCTCGGCCATATATAACATTGCTTAGGTATTTGTATCTCATAGGATGGGCAAGAAGCGCTGTATTTGTGCATGGAGGAGCTGCTCTGAGCTGAGTTTCTAGCTATCCAGAAAGCACAGGCTGGCTGATGAGGCAACTCTTGCACACAATTGATTGTGGACTATTAACCTATGCTCAGAAATCAATATTCACTTAACACCACATTTTAACAGGCAAATGCAGTACAAAATAACAGCAGTTACACAGTGCACACATTTACACTTAGAATAAACAGGTCATGAAATAGAGCTTGGCAGAAGAGGATGAGATTGGCCAGGTAGTGCCAAACGGAACAGCGACAACTTGATTATGTGGAGAAGTACAAGGTAGTTGCAGCTCCCAGAGATTTTTGCAACTGAATGTCCCAGGGATTTTTGGTCAATGAGCTATATGCTTTCTCTAAGCATCACTAGGAAGGTTTATCCTGAGGGTAGGCAAGGTCATCCATTTCTAGGCAAGACCAAATTTACTGGGGTTGAGCACAGAAATCCATCTTAACCCACAAAACCCAAGTCTGTTGCTAGCTGTGATGACGGGTGATATATATGTGTTGCAAAGGACAAGAGAGAAAGGAGCAAGAATATAAACTGTAGTACAGAGTCCTTGGTCTGGGATGGTATTTTTCATATACTTAAAATAATGGATGTGGAAAGGGAATTGAAAGCAATCCAGAACTGGTGTTTACCAGGGACTTTACATGTATGTTTATTGAGCTTTACTTGCAACCTGCCCCGCAGTGCAAACTTCCAGTCTTTAGAAAGGTATGCTCTAGTCTGTGCCTTGAGAAGCTTGAGGAGCAGACCCATGTGAACCTCATGTCTGGGTAGGGACAATCTTTAATATCTATACAGACACGGAGACAAAAGCAGCCCTGCAGAAAAGGACTTGGAGATACTGGTAGAGGAAAAATTAGATATGAACCAGCATTAGATATGAACCAGTTAGAGCAGGTCCAGAGGACATCCACAAACATGATGAGAGGGCTGAACATCTCTCCTATGACGAAAGGCTGAGACAGGTGGCATGGTTTGGCCTGGGGAAGGGAAGGCTCCAGGGAGACCTTACTGTGGCCTTTCAATGTGTAAAGAGGAATCATAAGAAAGGCAGAGAGACACTTTTCACCAGGGCACATAGTGACAGGACAAGAGGCGATGATTTTAAACTGCAAGAGGGTAAGTTTAGAGCAGACACAATGAAGAATTTTTTTAAAGTGACAGTGGTGAGACACTGGTACAGGCTGCCCCAAAAAAGCTGTGGATATCCCAACCCTGGAAGCGTTCAAGGCCAGGCTGGACAAGGCTTTGAGCAACCGGATCTGGTGGAAGATGTCCCTGCCCATGGCAGGGGGGTTGGACTAGATGGTCTTTAAAGGTCCCTTCCAAGCCAAACCAGAATGTGGAGTGGTAGGACACATTGTGTCAGGTCCCTCCAGTAGTCAGAAACTAACCCCTGCACAAGTTCTAACAGAACTCAGACCTTTATTTTAAAATATTGCGTCGGAATATTAGCCGGATGGTAACTCAGAGTGCTAACATGGCAGAAGAAATGGTGTGCACCACACCTGCAGAGCTCAGTGCAAACTGTTTGAGGCGAAGCGGGGTGCAAGTTGGGGGCATGTTTTCAGTGACTGCTGTTCTGGGTTAAGGCGGTTCCATTCCTCTCTTTTGGAAGCCTTCTGTTTCCCAAAGGTGAATCAGTAATGGGAGGTGCCTGGATATGGATTCAGATTAATGGGAAGGAAAGATGCCATTTACACCAAGTTAACGTGGGCTCAGCAAAAGGGGCAGGAATAGAGCCAGAGATGGCCAAGAAATAGCAGCTCCAGAATATACAGAGGAGGCCACAGGCATGCTGCTGTGTTCAGAGATGTCTCGCGGTATCTTCCCGTCAGCCATCTAAGAAAAGAAAAGGAGAAATGAATCCCAGGTGGACACATTTATACTCAGATGTCTGGCTGCAGAGCCTTCAGTTCTGAGCACTACTGTGAGACTACAGGAAACTCCTGCGGCCAGGCAACACAGCCTCCTATTTCTGCTTGTCTGTGGAAGGAATAGCTTGAGGTAAAGCAGACCAGGGTTCTGCATACATGTAGCAGCCCTTGCTTTGAGGTTTAAAACCACACATTTCCAGATCGAAGGTTCTTCAGCTACTGTCTCTAGGCCACTTGACTTGCTGCTTTGTAAAGACAACAACGCAATACATACCTGGGACATTTCTGAAGCAAGAGATGTGCTGGCACTGTCTCCTTGAAAGCTTAAGGAAGATGAATAAAATAAGTCTTCCTGTCTTTCTACAGCTGTCTGCTTCAGATGCATTTGAGACCAAATGGCATTTTCTGCAAACATAAGTAAAGCAAGAGTTTTATTGTGCTTTTCTTGTGCACATCTTGGAGTCTAGTGAACAGAAGTCTAGGAAAGCCATTTTAGGAAATGCACTCACAAGCCTTGTGGCAATGATTTTTAAAATACATGTTCTCTGTTCAGTGAGTGGCCTGTTAGTTTGTGGATTTACTTGTGAGGTTGAGCAGACTTCAAAGCTGATTTTCACTGTACTTCAAGACCTTTGGGTGCCTCTGGGACTTGCCCAGCTAGACAGAGGCAGGTATGTAGTATCTCAGGCGGGAAGTTTAGGTTGTAGGTCTATCTACAGTGCTGGGTGTAAGGCTTTTCTATAAAGCAGGAGGTAGATTTAAATATTAATAATTTATCTAGTAATACTGGTTTCTTTTATATCCTTCGGAAGCTTTTACAAACATAAAATATTTAAATCTTATTAAGGTCCGTTGCTAAAATGCAAGGGAGATAAAAGAAATACAGGTTTAGGATTCCATAGTTGCATGCAGCTGGATTTTTGTAACTGCTATGCTGCTGAAACTAGTAACAGGGGGTGTGTCAGGAGCTACTTACCTTGACTAACTAAATGAGGGCCAAAGGTGAGCATAGAAAAAGGGGCGAGGAGGGGAACCCAAACCCCGTAATCCTGGTGCACTAATGTGGTTACTCAGCAACTATGGTTACAGCATGTCTGACCTCCTCTGGTGAATTTTTTGGAACCCTTTGATGTGAATGCTGTTTGGAAACACTTTTGAGAGCAGATCCAGTCTGGTCCCATGGTTGGACAGGAAACCGTAGAGACATTGCAGAAGAAGACAGAACTATATGCAAGAGCATTGCACCACAGGTTCTTGAAATCAACAGATAATCAACAAATAACAGAAAATCAACAAATAATTTCTCTGTGCTGAGCTGCTTCTCTGGTTCTGTGATATAATTGAAGCTTACCAAGGCATTTGTTGCTCTCAAACATGGCAAGTATCTGGTCACATTTCTCCTTCTGGTTGCCGCTGCTCTCACACGTGCACCACACGGAGACCTCCACGCTGGAGTTACCGACATAGTTGGGTGTCATGGGTGTGCCTGTCCCAAACCACCAGAAGCTGGAATCAGGGTGATTCAGCACATGAAAGAACCATCACGAGTTCCATTACACTGAAGAAACAGAAGTCTTCTGTCGTGATACAACTGTCACCCGGGAGAGGTCAGGAGCCCCTGTGAGGTGACCCAGGCCTGACCAATCTATGTGAAGTCTGCTGCGCTGTGAGAAAGCATGGAGACTGTAACCCCTGACTCAAGCAATCTGATGGTGAGGTATCCCGATTACTGAAGCGGGTGCAAGCATCAGACTGAAGGATCTAAAGCATCCTAAGGGACTCAACTGTGGTACTGGCACATGGCAGCAAAAGGCACTCTTATTTCTTGTGTAGCTGGCAACACTCTGTGGCCAAATGCCTTTTGCCAAACAAATGCTCCACACCTGTAGAATTCATTGAGCACAAACCCAGCAAAGATATCTGGAAAACTGGAAGGCATAGTCTAGATTTACAGCTTCTGAGATATTGCTGCTCTTTACAGCTCCTCTTCTGAGACTCTCTGAAAAAGTATTAGCAGGTTGGCAGTGAATGCCTAAAACAGAAGACAGCCTTCCCTCTAACCGCTGGCAGTGCCATGTGCTGGCTGGCTCTGAGAAGATAGCATGCACAACACTAACAACGCATCAGGAGTCTAAAAGTCAGGCAGTGGGGGAAGGTCATATTTAATCACTGCTGTGATGGGATGTAACTCCTGCAGCAGGCATGAATTAGTTCATAGAGGGCTGGAGGCAACGCCTGCAGCGGGAATGACTTAGTTCATACAGGCCTGGAGAGCCCTGTTGGTCAGGCATTCAAAGCACTTTGCATCAGCCAGTGATGCAAACAGGTGTTTAGAAAATCTCAGGCAAGTGCTGCTGATTTGATAGCAGAGGATGGGACAAAGGAGAGCACTATATGCCATGGAAGAGCCCTCTTTGGGCTGCATTTACCTCAGAAGCAAGCGGGAGCACTAGCATCATTTAGGCTAAGAGACCGTAGCCATTGATACGCTGAGCACTGTCTCCTGCAGGAGAGCAAGATGGTTCTTCACAGCATCAGAGAGTGCCTGCAGGTTTGTGGCCTGAAAGCATCCACTCTGTATGTTCCTGCGGATATCACTTACCAATCAGCCCCATGTAAGCCTGAAGGCATGCAGCGTGGTTGCGCTGAGAGCAACCATCTGGAGACATGTCTGCAGGTTGACAGTTTTGCTGGAAGTCAGCCAGTCGGGATCTGTAGGAAGGAAAATGAGACTATCAGTGTCTACACTGTTCTCTTGGCTAATGGCCATTGCTGCTGGACCTACTTGCAGATATGATCTTCTAAGCAGGAGTCTAGAAGCCACAGGCAATTTGGTTTGGTGTTATACTGGAAGGAACAATCAGGAACAATAGTTTTCCGGCGTCGTTCTCCACAAAGTTCGTCTTGACATGGACAGAACAGGATCCTTTTGGTGAAATCCTCAGGGACTTTCTCAAAGAAATTCCTCAATCCTCTGTGGCATTTGCGACGGTCACACATGTCCTCACTTCCCGCCCCCTTGGTGCAGATAGATGCATAGTCTGTACGCAGACGGACACATTTCTTGCTCAGATTACAGATGTGAGTTGCTTTCAGGCATGGATTTGTTGTACCTCCTGATAACTGTGAGCCTATAAAGCAAAAAAACCCAAACAACCAAAAACCAGAAACAAAACCAAAAACAAAGCAAGTCACCAGTAGAGATTCTGTATGGAAACAGGAGTAGCCCTTACTTGATGGGAACATCAGAAAGAACAAAGCAAATCAGTCCTGCTAAGTGCCTGTATTATGACATTGCAGCTATACTGGCTACAAAATGAGATTTTTTATTGGTTCATGTTAGGGCATTTGTTTCAGAGAATGCATCATTGCGAGTCATTCGCTGTTGCATGGGCTTGGATCTGTGGCTATATTTACACTTGGCAGGGAGGACAAAGTTAAGCAAGTATCCAGAGCAAGTGTTCCTCTAATTAAAGGGGTCATTACCCCAAATTGTTGTTCGTAATAATTTTCAGCCCCTGAAAAGATAAGAAATGGCAGTATCATATCATGTAACTATCCGTCAGCAACGTGCACTCACAGCCCAGAAAGCCAACTGCACGCTGTGCTGCATCCCAAGAAGTGTGGCCAGCAGGGCGAGGGAGGTGACTGTCCCTCTGCTCCATGCTCGTCAGACCCCACCTGCAGTGCTGTGTCCAGCTCCGGGGCCCCCAGCATAAGAAGGACATGGGCCTGTTGGAGCGGGCCCAGAGGAGGCCATGAAGATGCTCGGGGGGCTGGACCACCTTCCCGGTGTGGACAGGCTCCGAGAGTTGTGGCTGTTCAGCCTGGGGAAGAGAAGGCTCCAGGGAGGCTTTACAGCAGGCGCCCAGTACCTGAAGGGGCTACAGGAAAGCTGGGGAGGGACTCTTCAGGGACTGTAATGATACAACAAGGGGTAGTGGTTTCAAACGGACAGAGGGAAGATTTAGATTAGATATTAGGGAGAAATTCTTTTCTGTGAGCATGGTGAGACACTGCAACAGGTGGCCCAGAGAGGGTGTGGACATCCCAACCCTAGAAGTGCTCAAGGCCAGGCGGGATGGGGCTTGGAGCAACCTGGTCCGGTGGAAGGTGACCCTGCTCATGGCAGGGGGGTTGGACTAGGTGAGCTCTAAGGTCCCTTCCAACCCAAACCATTCTGTGATTCATTACAACCCTTACCTGATAACAGAGCGGCCAGTTTATTATAGTCTGTCTTCCAATGTTCTTCATGCGCTGGATTCTCGTAGGGAGAGGTCTCCAAATTGAAATAACCTATGGAAGATACAAGATATTTTATGCAGTGGGAGAAATGCTTCATGATTGGCTTTTTTGGCAGTTTTTTAAATTGATTTTTTTCTTATTTGTGCCTGGCTGTTTCCTCAGGTTGGAGTTTAGAGATGTTCTGTCTTGCTCAGTGCCAAATACCAAGAACGGTTCTGCTGGAGATGCAGAGGTGTTACTGTGTAATAACAACATTACATTTTGTCATCAGATTTCCTGTGGCTGGAGTTTGGTCCAGGTTGTCATTTGGGTTTTTTCAGCCTCCGTACTAGTGAGACATGCAGCATACGCAGTCTTTAATGGGAAGCCAAGCAGAAGCATCCCACTAAAGCTGTCAAAAGCAGCATGCTCAAGGATGTCACGAAATGTGTGTCATAATCACACATCTGTTTCACTGATGGACAGAGGTCACCATTTTTAGGCGATTTTCGCGGCAGTCTCCCCTCATAGCACTACATCCAACTGCCTCAGAGTAGCTATCTTTGTCTTTTAAGGCTCCCTGGTGTATTTCAAGGGCCAGTCCCAAACCAGATCAGCTTCCTCTGCTTGTCAAACAGAGCAGTGATGAATTCTTTTCACCAGGAGATGTGGTTCCAAAGGGATACCTGCAGTGTTGGGAAGTGGCCTTTCACAGTTGTTTTCAGCTGCAGGCAGGGGTGAGCCTTACTAGTACCTTGTAAACGCATATTACTTCATCTCACCATCTGTCATGCTAGAGTGGACGGTCCAGAAAATGCGTAAGCAGTGCTCCTGCCTCTTCATGCGCCGGTGGCACTTGCAGTGCAGCAAAGAGCTGTTGCCAAGGTCCAGCTCTGCGTTCAGGCACCGGACCCTGCTGTCGTGATCCAGCGGAGGGAAGCGAGTCTTAGCCAGGGCACAGTTCTCCAGGACCCGGTAGGTGGCATTGCAGGTGGAGTCCGAGAGGCACAGCTGCTCTGCTGCTATGCAGTCACTCCTCGGCAGAGCCAGGAGGTCTCCTGGTCAGGTGGGGAAAAGATTGTTAGGATCACAGTCACGAGGAATGCCACACAAGCTCGTCATTGTTCTGCAGGCATCCTATGCTCAGCAAGGACTCCTCTCAAGAGGCAGAAGTGGATGGGACCTCTCATAAGGAGTAGTAAGGAACAAGAACTGTGTCCATTTAGAAAAAAAGGATGAGTATTAATGTACGAGAGTGGGAAAAAAAGGTTAAATAAATGTCTTAAAAATAATTTTGGTTAATGAAACCTCTTTTTTCCCAAGCCTTAACTCTTTCGACTTGGCCAGGATCAGGAATGCTTCTCTATTTTATGGAGTAGTAAATCCCTGTGAAAACCCTGGGGTTCCTGAGGACTGCTTTGAAGAAGGTCTTCTATCTGGGTAATGAAAACCACAACACAGTAAGCACACAGTAACACCGTACGGCGTGCTGTGAGCCAGTGATGCTGCCGCTGCTAAAGTATACACTGGTCATTAAGAGATGTACCGAGAAAGCCATTCGTAGGGTGTAAAAAGAACTATTTTACTGGGAATAATAATGTGGGATTTTTGGATAATAGAATAAATCCTTAACAGAAGATAAAAGTAGCTTCATACTGAAGTACTGATATTCAATTGATTTAAGTATATAGAACCCAGTCCCTGAAATCCCTGCCAAAAATTGCTAGGATGCAGACTTGGCCTGTCAGCTTTCATTTGTTGGTTGATTGTGACCTTTGACTGTATCTGTGTGTGTGTGCACATGCGTGTATTTGCATAACATATGCATTGATTATAAATATATATATATGTATACACATATACCACATTATGTGGAAGTATTAAATAATCTCAATTTACCAATATAATCTTTAAAACTAGACTTTTTCAGGTTTTGGAATTTTTATATGGACTTACCTCCTAAGGTTAATACTGGGTTGATACCTAGCGTTACGTTGTTACAGGTAGGTGATTTCAGTCTATAATCTGTCTTCATTTCTGTAGTATATGAATCTGTGTTTACAGTACAATGAAGATCTGGAACAAGGCTGTTTGCTAATAAAATTTATCGTAGGCTAGTATGTTTCTTCTTTTCAGGACAATATTGCTTGGTTGGTTTTAGGAAATGACTGTGCCGAGCCTTACATCTACCTTTAATATTCTTTGCGTACATGATCTTACCTATCATTCCCTTGTTTCACAGGTACAGTAGTACTATTTCAGTCTGCTTTCACTACAAATTAGAAAAAAGCCGTGGTACGGCTCGTATTACCTGGTATAGTCTTCTCTACCTAATTTGTTCCCTCCTCTTTTGCTGGTTTCATCAGTTTATTTGCTGTAAGCAGTACACTGCATAATTCGATGCTGTCTGCTTCTCCAATATTCTACTTTTCCTACAGCCCAGTAATGCTATCCAGGTGTCTCTGTCTCACTTGTACAAACTGCTTTGCTTTTCTAGCAACATACTGTACTTTGTTGTTCATCTGGCTGTTATGTAGAGACTGTATGACTTTGTAAGCTCTCTGAAAAACAAACCTCTCATCAGAAATGCTTTGTACCCAGCACAGTGGGCTTTGGTTAGGTTTTACACCTAGGCGATTTACACCTAGGCTTTTACACCAAGGGCGATTACATCCTGTAAGGCTGCAATAGGTGCAAATTCCCAATAGCAAATTGGTTCTTTCTCTCCAGTAGCTTTTGGAATCCTAAAGAGAGCAAACTGATCTACCCCACCAGGAGAGACCAAAGTTCCATCTCCCCCAGTATCCCATCTCCAACAGTAGGTTGCAGCAGCTGTTGTAAAAAGTTCACAAAAGGACAGGATGCACTTTCCTGGCTTAAAAATGCTGCTCAGCAAGCACCTGAGCTTGAAGTGGCATTTAAAAAACTTTAAAGCGATATGGTAGTTGCCAGGATGGAGCAGAACTGGGTGTAAGTGGATGACTGTGTTTCTACCACAGGTCTGTGTCAGATACTTCAGGTGAAGCTGCTGTAAAGCTAAAATTTTAAACAGTCCTCCTCTACAGACATCAGTTAATAGCTATGTGTTGTCTTAAACCCTAATACTTTACATGTTGGTTCATTTTTTAAAACCTTGTGTTAGTATTCCAGATAATAACATGAAAGAATGAGAAAGCTAATTCTCTCTTAGACCGAGGGTCTAGGTTGCAGAACATGTTAAAGATGCATGTATGTGGGAGCCTCTTCTGTAATTAAAAAAAAGTTAAAAGGTAATAATCAATTCACAGACTGTAATTATTTATACCTTAGAAAAAAGGGATAGGTAATACAATATCCTTTTATTCTCCCTTTGCACATCATATCATATTTATATATACTACTTTGATGCTGTGGTGTACCATGCTATTGAATGAGAGGATGACTGAGACAAGAGGAACCCTTTCTTTTATCAAGTACAGTTATCAAAGAACCATTAGTATTTGGACATGGAAAATTGTGGGAAGTCTATTCTAATCATGCGGCTGCAAGTGTTCCTGAGGTCTCGTGCAACAGCCCTTTTTTATAGCAGTCATTGTGATATTCAGCAGCTGCCACTTTTTCTGAGTGTAGAGCACTGATTTACCATGGTCAGAACCGAGGAATGTTTTTGTGTAGTTTTGTGATTTCTGTATTTCTAGCCCCATCAGCCATGAAGGCTACACAACAGATGAACTGCAAAGAGGAATAATTTCTATCCTCGGCTCTTGTGACTAGGCAGAGGAGAACCAACAGCTGCATCTCTGCAGGGGCTCCCTGGATTGGTCTTTGCAAACTGAGCCTCATCTCAGAAAACTGTCAGCCTGAAGCATTTCGGAAGGGGAATGCATGAGGGATAGATATCAAAAAAAGCTCTTCGCGAAGTCAGTGTGGCAGGGGTCCAGCAGGGATCTTCTGAGGCCGCTCCAGC